TATTCCATGATAGTCTTTGCCTCATGCCAAAATACGACTAACCAAAGGGAAGGGTAAGATGGGATTTTCTAACTAATAGGTTGTTCTCCCACCTCCATAGCTAGCTTTTGCAGAGGGTTTGTCACTCTACTTGGCTGTCCATCATTGGTGTCAAAGTTTGTGGGCTGACAGCTCTGGGAAGGGCTTGTATCCAGAGGGTTCTGACGTCTTGAAGGTTTTTGATCAGAGAGAAACCTAGTAAAGTGTCTAAGAGTTGAATTGTTGGATGTCAATGCTCCTAGGGGGTCCATTGATGACCAAGGTAATTTGGGGTTGTCACGGTCTATATTTAGTTGCATGAGGATACTTTATGGGACACTCTAGCGTGTTAATTCTTCTTAGTAGCTTGGATTGAGGATAGGGTTTACTGCCGCTACTTGGAGTCCTCCATATAATTTTAGCCTTTCATGCTTCCAAAACTTTTAATTGGACTTTACCAGAGTTGTTGTTCATTAAACTTATGATGCTGTCTCTGAGATTCAAAGATCTGAAACCTGAATCTTAAAACCAGCCGCTGTACATGTCCTAATACAGTGGAAGCACATCGATTGATGCCACTGGGGCCTTCATCTTTAAAAACTTGAGCAAAATATGAATCCCATATCGATGGACTATTTCTGCCCAAGAATAATTATATTATATGCTATTCTTTACATTTTGCAAAATTCTGCATAGGCATTGTTTACTTGACCTTTGATTGTGGCACTGATAGTCTGAACATGTTACAAAGCATAGGCTGTCAAGAAAGGTAGTTATATGATTTTTTTGGTGTCTTGAGTTTCAATGTTGTTTCTGAGAGTTTCTCATGAAGTCGCAGGTTGAGCAGGGAGCACGAAGATCACTGTGCTTCAGCAGGCACTTCCGATAAGCAAGAGCAGGAAACTGCTATGCTTCAGGTCTCAGTTTTGTTTGATTTCTTATTTACTTTGTTTAGAAGAAGAATATTTTTGTGCAAGTTGAAGGGTTTATGGGTAATCTCCTAGGTCTTGATGCGGTAGAGCAAGAGCAGAAGGTCACTGAGGATGCTCGTGAGGTTTGCAGAGCAGGAATGCAGAAAACACAAGATATGCTGCCCAAGTGCTTCAGGTTCCAGGGCCCCCAAACCCACCCCCAATTTTTTTTTTTAATCATTCTTAATTCATCTTTTGTTTGCTTTACAACTCATGTTATGTGGTGAGCATGGAAAAGAGTTTATTCAGCATAGTAGACACTGTTACGATATGTAACTCCTAATTCATGCTATAGGAGAGTTATGTAATTTTCCATCTAACTCTAGTCTTTTTCACAGTTTCACCTGCTCTTCTCGCGATCTCAACTAGACCCTCTCTGGTTCTATCTGACTCAGATATCTCTAAAGCTGTTTGACAGCTTCAAGTGAGTCCATCTTCCAGCACAAACATGCCTCTCTCCCAGCTCCCACACGTTTAAGCCCCATTAAGCATGCCCATAGTCATACATTCAAGCGATGCTATGCCATTTTGAACATGAACCCTTGTCTAATGCATCCTTTTGTGATCACTAATAACGCACTGCATCGCTTCTTCCTTTGTCATCTTGTGGGGTATCCTCCAACTGGGCTGCCTAGAGATAAATGCTTGTTATCTGTATGATCTTTATCGTGGCTTAAGTCATAGTCACAATGTTGCCACTGCCAACAATATTATCATTCCTTCTACTTCCCCCTTCCAAAAAATTATGACAAAGAAGATCCCCCATTGCCACACCTGCTATAATCTTCTATTCAGACACCATTCAATTCATCTTGTAATGTCTGTTAAAGGAAAGAAACATGTTGAAAGCAGGAATAATTCTTCCCCACACTGGCTTGAGGAATAGAGACCCCTAGAGAAGTGTATTGCATTAATCAATAGTTGTTCATTCAAGACAAGTCGCACGAATAGCTTGCAACACCAAGGGACATTTAGTTGCCACATACTCCTTGAAGCTTAGATCACTTCCATTTGGTCACTTTTGACGGCCCCCATTGTATCTCATAAGCCAATTTAACAAAGAAGATACCATTTGATAGATGGCTACCAATTTTGTCAATCAGTGGTTGATACAGCTGGATGATTTTTTTTAAGATTTATTGTTTAGTGGATTAAATTTAAGATTTCTTTTTTACACACCGGAAATAAAAATTTAAGCTTTTCTTTTGAGTGATTATTTGGCACTTGTTGTTTCTGGTCTTATGAGCTTACATTCATTTATTTCTCTTTTGTTGCCCCTCCTTTTAGTTGATTACTTTCACCAGTTGTCTTGAAAGCTATCTTCTTGGACAATTGAAATATTAAATATATCCCGTTTGTTTCCGCTTTTGGTGAGGAGTCAGTGTTTTAAATTTCCTCCTCTTCATGGGAGCCAAAATGTGACTGAAATAACTTGAGCAGGCTCTTGCAATGGGGCCCATGGGAAGAATTATGATTCAATCTTAGCAAACTAGAGATCTCATCGAGGCCTGTTCTCGTATGGTTTTCTGTGGATATGTAGGCTTTTATAATTAATCCTTGTGAAGGGACTACACTGGTGGCCACTTCGTTACTACTTGACAAATCTGCTCAATTGCTTTGCCGAACAAATCAATTTTCTTGGAAAGTTAGTGTTGTCAATCTACTTGGGATGTCAAAGTGTCATGTCCGATAGTTCATGTTCGCATTTTGACAAGGATATTGGACTTGAATTTTAAAATGAACTTTCATTTTCATATCTGGTCAAGGTCTTTCAGTTTCATCTGTTTTTCTCATAGAAACGATGCTTCCAACTTTGCCCATTTTTTCCAGATTTCCTTTTAAGGGTCCTTTCTCTATCCTGCCCCTAGAAATGAAGTTTCATTTTCACATTTTGTTCAGATGAGTTACTTATGCCTTGTTTTATCCTATTTCTCTCTTCTTTAAACTCTAATTGTCTGTCTTTGGTCATATCTTTGTCTACGCTTCAGTATATTGCTTTGTTATGTTGAATGCAATGGTAAATTTTCAGATTGCAACAAATTACAATTTATAAAACCTAATGGCATCATAATCAATGCAGTGACTTCACTTAGTAGGATAATGTTTTTGTTGTTGTTGTTGTTGTAACATTACAATTTACATATATAATTGATGGCAGGAAAAATATGAAGAAGCCACTACTGCGCTTGCTGAAATGGAGAAGAGAGCAGTTATGGCAGAATCGATGCTTGAGGCCACCTTGCAGTATCAGTCTGGCCAAGTTAAAGTCCAGGCATCACCACGGTGTGTCAAGTTTGCCAAATATCTAGCTAACTGTAATTCTATGGTTGAAATGTTTTGTCTTTCCAAATTTTTGTCGTGAAATTTAGGTCCACCCGGGACATGTGGCTTAACATCTCTTTCCATAAGAATAAAACTGGGAATAGGTGCAGCCTTTAGGTTATACAAGAGTAACTTCTATATGTTTGATGGTAAACAGGGCCCTTGATTATGTTGACCCTAGGTCTCTGTTGCTTTATAGGTCTTCGCAACCTGGCTCCCCAGCATCACGAAATAATCAAGAACCGATGCCAGATGTGCCTGCTAGGAGGATAGGTTTGCTTTCTCGTCCATTTGGTCTTGGATGGCGTGATCGAAACAAGGTTAGTCTATGCAGTATGCTCAACGTTTTAGTTGGTTTCCAGCTACTTCGAAATTTAGGATTCGTTAGGTACATCAACGAAATAGAATGAAAAGGAGAATAAAATTTAAAAAAACAATTGTGAATGAAAAATGTCTTTTGCCTTTCTTTTTTTTTTTGGTGATAATCTTTTGCCTTTTGATAAGAGATAATCAAAATGAACAGTTCTTGGTAAGTAATGATAATTGAGATATAATAACCACATCATATCTCAATTTTCTTCATGTAAGAGAAAAGACTCCTATTTTTCAAACCACCAGGATGATAATTATTTGCTGACTGTCCCAGGGGAAACCGACTAACGCAGAAGAGCCAGCGAAACCGACTAATGCAGAAGAGCCAGCGAAACCGATTAATGCAGAAGAGCCAGCAAAACTGACTGATGCAGAAGAGCTGGCTGAAGGAAAAGCGGCGGATGAGGGACAAAGTACAAGTACTCACCAAGAGACTAATGGCCATAAAACATCCTTCCCATGAAAGTTTAATGAGGAAGTAGTATTTTGTTTGCAATTTTTGTTTAGAGCGAACATGTAATTCATTCATTGTTTGTTCACTAAGATGCCATAGAATAATAGTGTATTTGTAAAAGGAAGAAACAGGCTGAGCTCGATTATTATATAACCTTCTCGTTTGTATTGTTCTGAAGGGATGGACTTTGTGTAGCGTGACAGACTAGCGTATATATATAAAATTATATATTAAACTCCGAGTCATCTGTCCATTGCCTCGTTTCATGGAGAAGCTCTCTGGTTCACCTGGATGAATGCGTAGGCACCATTTGGAATAGGATGCAATACTTACTCTTTTTCGAGAAAAAGACAATGATACTAAGTAGGTTAATAACTCTGAAATTTGACTTCATTTTGGTCTTAGCTTTTAAAATTTGAAACCAATGGTTTCGGATCTCAAAATTTAATTTTATTTTGGTTTTGGTTTCTGAAATTTGAAACCAATAGTTCTGATTTCTAAAATGTAATTTGACTTTGGTTTTGGTCCTTGTCCTTCGAAACAAGGACCAACAATCTTGAGATGGACTAAAATAAAATAAAATAAAATTTTAGAGACTAAAATTATTTATTTTAAAATTTGAAGGACTAAAACTACAATGAGATTAAATTTCAAGGGGCAAAACCATTAGTTTCATATTTTAGAGATTAAAACCAAAATGACATTAAATTTGGGGACTAAAAGTTGTATTAACTTTATTAAGTAATAGAAGTTTGCAAGATACAAATAGTGGGTGAAGTAAAATGAGTTCCTAAGAAATTGTAAAAAATTTATATTATAATAACCCTAAAGTTAAAAACAGAAAAATTAAAAAGCAAAGCTAAGATTCCTATCAAGTGACATTGAGAGTTGAAGAAACTTTTGGAGGAGTTTAGAAACAAAGCTATCTCAATATAGTAAGTCATTAATGATGCCTTAACATCTAGTTGTAAGAGTCCTGTAGCGTGAATCTAGAAAAAGAGCAACATGGAAGCATTTAGGGGGGGGGGGAAGGTTGTCCTCGGGATTGTTTTATTTTTACACAAGAGCTCCTTCATGGGGGATCCATTATGGCAAATAATTCCATAGCAAGTGTTTTCCCCAGTTTCTTGTACTTATGAAAGAGAGCATTCCGTCCATAGTTGTGCAAAGCTAGGCTAGAATCTATAATAGATTTTGCTTCTCCACCTTTACTGTGGAAGTAGAAGTTAAGCATGCAAGATCTTAGTAGTTAACAATTTACTTTACTTCCCCAATTATTAACAAATGGTTGTCTCTTTTTCCATGATGTAAAGCCTTATTCCTTTTCTTCCAAATAGTATGCAAAAGATATTTCACTTGAGAGATTAAATGCAAAAGAGCATTAAATGCAAAAGACGATGCTTTTGGAGATTGAATAAAGTGCCCTTAAGCCATTCCTTGAAACAAGTAAGAGCTACCAACTATATGAAATGTTGGCAAACACGGCCATAGTGGTGACCAACACTACCTTTTCCTGATCATCATGGCTTTTTCCCTTTTCCATTCTTCTATGGGCAAGTGACCTTTCGGACCAACACTCATGTTTTCCAGGTTCTTTTGCAGCTTTGAAGAACTTTTTACCGTCCACAATTTTCATATTCTTTCTTCCTTTTTTTTTTTTTTGGTTGTTGTTTGGCTACAAGTACGCTCTCTAGAAAATTTGCTTGGGACTGTTCACTTTCACTTAGTCGCCTTGTAATATTAAAACATCCATACCATATATTTCTTGTTAAAGGACAATTGACAAAGAGACAATATGGTATCTCTAGTGCATCACAACCAAAGACACATAAAATGGATGAAGGGATGTGATGTTTGGCGAGAATATCAATTGATGGCAAGGCATTGTGAAATGACTTCCAAATGAAAAGAATCTACTTGTATGGCAAATGAAACTTCCACAGAAACCTCTAGAATGTTAGCAGGCAACTTCATCTAAGAGGGAGGTGAATTGAATGATAATTAAAAATTTTAAACTTCAACAAAATTGATATTGATTAAATGAGTAGAGAGTTAGAAAGATATTATTGAAGGAAAGTAAAGAGAGAAAAACAAAGCAAGTTTGTATTGGTTCATTTGACCATTGAACTTACATCTAGTCCTTAGAACTCTTATGAGATTTCCACTATGAGCTCTAAGATTCAATAGGCTTTTGGTGTCTCACTACAACAATTAAAATCTCTCAATTGCTCCCTCTTACTTCTTGTAATTTACAACCCACTCAAGAATCTTACATTCTTGAGTATCAAAGGGTAAAGAATGTATCTCTCTTATAGAGTATAATTAATGAACATTGACGCTCGGGTGTATTTCTAAAAATAACAGGGCAATGAAACCAAGTTATAAATGTAGCAGCATGGTAGCTCAAATTTGATGCCGCTTTATTGAATACTTGCTCTATTTATAGTCGATCTCCAAATATATTCGTTACACTCCATGGCTTGCATCCGTCGGAGATCGATGTGTGTAGGTTGGTAGTATATATTTGTTAAGTTACATTTAATGCTTTTGATAGAAGTTGCTAACCAATGTCACTTTTCCGTTGAGGCTTAATCCTGCGATAATCATGCTTCAAAGTAGATCATTAAAAACATACAAGCAAGTGATTAGTAATTATTTCTCAAACTATTAAGTCCAAACATAAGTGATTGAGTGAGGATAAAAATCTGATAGAACTAGTTTTCTGACATAACTCGAGTGAGTATTTGAGTAAAAGATGAAAACTTGAACGAGGAAGAACATGCTTGGATAGGTACTTAAGTAAATAGCTTAGATGGCAAAGATAAGCTAAGTTTAAATCAAGGTGATTGAAGGCTTAATACTCGGGTAAGAAAAGTTTAGAACAAATGAGCTTTGATTTCCCGAGAAGAAACTCATGTAAGGGAGGAGAAGTAAACAAAATAGAGGACACTAACTCAGGTAAATGTTCGAGTAATCTATTACCTCGGAAGTTACTCAAGAAAACATAAGATGTGGTTTACTCCCAAAAGACTTAGGCAACTAAAGATGTTTAGATACTCAGGAAATTACTTGTGTAAATAAGGATTGAAAGACCTTTTAGATCAGAACTCGAGCACGAACTCAGGTACGAAACTCATTTTTCAAAGCAAATTTTCATTCAAGAGGGAAATATACTCATCCTCAAGTATGTATTCGGGTAAACAGACTTTGAAACATAGGAAAGGCTTTAATCGGAAGATTACTCAGAGAAGACTTGATTTCTGAAACCATTTTGAGAAGGGCTAAGTTTCTTCAGAGGCAAAACGCAATACTTGAATAGATAACCAAGTTAGTCAAACTCGACTATTACTCGGGTAAAATAGATTTTTCTCTGGGCAGGAAAGAAAAGAAAAGTTGCTCTCGTATATGTTGGGATAAATCTTTTAATACTCGAAATTACTTGGGCAAGTACTTCTCAAAACAAATATCTCAAGAAAAGTTATTTTATCAAAACATAGAAGTATTATACTCAAATAGGTGATTAAGTAAATCCTTTAAATATAGAAAATATCAAGAACTCGAGCATATCTGCAAACTAGAGCTTTGATTTAAGAAACTTTAAAACTTTGTCAGTATTAAACTTTGTTATCATCAAAACTTTAATTCTAACATAGAAATGAATCGATCATACCATCAAGCATGAAAACTGTGAATTCCAGATAATAGGATTCTAAGATAATGAAACATGCAATAATGGATAAGCTATTCATTGAATATTCAACAAAGTAGCTTAATCCCGTTGCGTGGGCCATCAAAGGTAGTGATCAGCCGGAATTACAGTACCATTCTTAGCACACAATTTTAATCTCCTTACTATGATTCTCATATTTTCAGAAAGCCCCTTCGATATCCGTGAGGAATTGTAAGGATTCTTGATAATTGCTTCGGTAGAAAGATCAATATACTTGATCTTTAGTGTGGAAGCCAACAAGGAGGGTTTTTCTGATGAGATAATTCTCCAAATATGCTTTGCTAACAGTGCTTGATTCCGTGGTAGGTCTTAAACCCAATCCCCCTTTTTCAGCATGTCAAAAAAGAATGTCTCTTTGAAGGAGGTGTATTCTCTTCTTAACGCTAGTAGTCCCCCAGAAAAAACTGGCATAACTAGCATCAATTTGATGATGCACATATTGAGGTAATTGTATAGAAGATAAAATGTGTATATTAACTAATGCCAGAATAGATTTGATGAGAGTTAGTTTGGATGCTTAAGAATAGAGCTTTGATTGCCATGAGCTTATCCTTGATTCCACAAAGTCAATTACGTGCTAATATATTAGACTCTCACTTCTACCTGGGTCAATCTAGGTTCCTAAATATTTCTCAAGTCTTGAAGCAAAGTGGAAACCCAATAATTTTGATAATTTGACCTAATCACCATGAGGAACATTGGGGCTAAATACAACAAAAGATTTGGATTTATTTCTATTCTAACCAGATCATAGATTGTACATAACAAGGATAAGCTTAACAGGGCAAAAATTTTTAATCGTGCTTCCAGAGAAGAAAAGAGAATCATTAGCATAAAGCATATGAGTAATTTGTTAGGCTCTTTGACATATTTTAATCCCCCTCCAGTGATTTGAACTCTGTAATTTGGAAATCATTCATGACAAGATGTTTGCAGAAAGAATATATCAATATGAAGAGAGATGATCATCTTGTCTAATACCCTAATTTGGAGCAACAACAGAAGTGAGTTGGCCATTGAAGAGAATTTAACATGATACTCATGAAATGCACTGCATGATCATGTTAACCCACTTTCTTGGGAAGTTCATTTGGGTTAAAATGGTTGTAATAAATTGCCAAGATAATTTATCAAAGGCTTTCAAGAAATTTACTTTTAGTTCAGCCAATTTGTGACATGAATTAGCATTTAAAAGTATATTATCTAAAATCAACCTTCCTTTTAGGTAGGCACACTTATTTGTGACTATTAGCTTGTCCAAAATTTGCTTAAGCCTGTTATCAAAGACTTTTGATATTATCTGGTAAACTCCATTGTAAAGACTTATGGGTCAAAAGCCTTCGAAGGATTGTGGCCGATCAGATTTTGGAATAAGGATAATCAAGGTCTCGTTGAGACTCTGAAGGAGGTG